AACGTTAATAGAAAACCTTAATATTAATAATGTTTCATCTTATGATTTTTTTCTATGCTTTTTGCCCTTTTTATTTTTTGACCATTTTCCTTTTTTTTTTCTTTTCTTTTTTTGGTTTTTTGTTACCCAAGTCCAAAGTGTTGACTCGCCATGTTGGATCTTCTGACTCGGACGAGCCAGATGCTCAGTTCGGTATCCCCGGTTTTTAAACATTGGTCCATTGTGGCCCCATATTTTGTCTTGGAGTTGTATTTATTTCAAACATAAAACTCGGCCATGTCCCCTCAATTTCCGCTTCTTGCTGAGCATACTCGTTGCACCTCAAGTTAACTAAACAAATAAACACAAAATTACAAAATACATATTTAATGGTGGAATCAGTAAATACATTTTATATATGTAATTTGAATTTTTGAACTTGTCTTATTTTTTATATTGTCATTTTCTTTAGATTTTTCTAAATGTCTACCCAACTGCAAATCATTTTTTTCTAGATCCATATTTCATATTTTTTTCAGCTTATTTGGACTTTTTATGTGATTTATTATATTTATTATATTTTTTAACTTTTTTTTTATATATTGAAAAATATGTCATGCACAGAATTAAAGTTGGGTGGGCAAAGTGGAAATGTGCAACTGGAATTTTATGTGAACGCCACATACTAATGAAGTTGAAGGGCAAGTTTTATAAGATAGATGTGAGACCAACTTTACTTTATGAGACGAAATATTAGGCGGTCAAGAAATAGTAGGATCAGTGTAGATATGAAAGAGTAGCAAGTCAAAAAGGAATATAATTCAAAATGAATAAATTTGCGAGAACTTAAGTGTGTCTTCAATAGACGCTAAAATGAGAGAAACTATACTTAGGTGGGCCGACTATTGTGAAGAGTCTCATGTTTCTCTGAAGAGACTAGGTGTCTATTAATTGATATGAATATACAGACATATCTTTATAAACAAATTAAACACTAATAGAAACTAAATTATAGACACTTAAACTATACTCAGACTTACCATAAAATACAAGACACAATATCCTATCCTTCCCACATTTACTGATTACAATATACACTTTCCATATTAATCGGATATACAGTATATACTTTCATTTCACATTCCTCCTCAAACTCAAGATGTTATGAAAGAGAGCAGCTGGAGTTTGAACACCAAGTCGTGGAAACAAGCAGTTGAATCTTCAGACGCATACTCAGATTGTTTGATCAACAAGCACAAAAAGCAGTGGCGAATCAACAAACCTCGAGAACATATGGCTTCAAGAACTCTCGAAAAAGATCAAACAGATCAAAGAGTCAAAACACGACTCAGCAGAGAGATAGATCAGAGAGTCAAAATACGACTCGACAGAGAAGACAGATCAAAAAGTAAAAAACGACTCATTAGAGAGTCGAAAACGACTCAACAAAAGTTGCACAGACTGGGTGAGCAAGAGACTCATCTTGAAAATCGGCTTCAATACTTCAGGGACGAGGAATGGACATGAAGAATATGAATCTGACTCTGATACCATGTGAAAAAGTCTCAGGTTTCTCAGAAGAGACTCAGTGTCCATTAATTGATATGAATAAACAGATTTGTCTTTATAGACAAATTACAAATGACACTAATAGAAACTAAATCATAAACATCTAAACTATACTCAGACTTACCATAAAATAGAAGCCACAATATCCAACCCTTCCCATATTTACTGATTACAGTATAACCTTATATTAATCGGATATACAATATAAACTTTCATTTCACAGCTATGAGCACCATAGTACGGCACCTGTTCGGAGTTGTGAGTTGATTCAAATGGAAAGCAGGATATGTTTAGAAGTAGTGAGAAAAAATATGTGAACTTATAGCCTTATTGAGAGAATGACACTTGAAAGAGCAAAATTGCATACCTGAATTTGTGTAATCGACTCTAAATAGTTATGAAAAGGCTTTGATGATGATGATGATGAAGAAGGTTTTTTGTTTTTTTACTTACACACTATTCGGCCGATTCCACTCGCCGAGTTACTCGGCCCGATCCAGGGCCGAGTCAAGACCCACGCCGGAGATGGATTTCAAATGCTACTTATTATCCCAAAAATTTTGTTGAAGATTTCAAACAAACTTGGGAGTGCACAACCACAATTTTTTTACTCTTGCGCTATAAAAATTGTTCTTTCGCACTAAAAGATCCTTTATCTTTCCTTGTGAGTGAAAATTAAATAGTAAAGGATGGGTTATACGTGGACTTTTAAAATCCATATTAGTGAGATTTACTTAATCTTCTCAACTATTTTTTGGGTACTTATACACTCTTGTGTTGCATATAATTTTTTGAAATAAGGGTATTTTTTATAATTAAAAGGAGTAGGATATATATTTTTATAAAAAATTAATGGCATTTATTAGTGGTTAAAAAATAATCATAACTTCATGATGTCATCATCCACTATAAATAATAAATACTCTTTGTTCTATAAAAAATTTCAATTTTATCCCTAGGAAAAAATATTATTACATAGTGGACGTATTGAGTATCCAAAAACGTTGAGTACATTAAGTATGTATAAATACTCTAACATAATCCAAATTTAAAAAGAGATCACAACCATTCCAACTCATTAGATGTCATATTGGATGTCTTAGGGTGAGTGACGAAGTCCGATAATTTTTTTTCAACTATGTGTCTATTTAGGGACACTTTTACATGCACCTATTTTGAAATTTAAGGGACAAGTGTGATCGTGACCTTTTTATACAAAAGATAAAAGGTGCAGTTTGTACAAAGGCAAGGCTCTAAACAATCAAATTAAAATGCACCTTCAAATAGTATAAAAAAATGTGGTTTCAATACTAGAAAACTTTTTGATAGCCGTAAAATATATTTTCATCTCTAATTATAAAATTTAAAGCTTCAAAAATAGTGTAGATCGAGTAGATCTATGAAAACTTGAAAATCTTGAAAATTGACGGTCCAAATATGCACTACAAGATACACTATTTTCAAAACTTGAAATCCATTTTTTTCTCAAGTCCATGCATCTTAAAGTGATCAATTTAAGCATCAAAACAACCTCTTCTAGTGGAAATTTTGAGATATGCCCTAATTTTAAACCTTTCTCAACGATAAATGGTCTCTTTCTATATTCCAATTTGAAATCCATCTTAGCGATTAACTTTGAATCAACAACGATAAAACAAATTCTAGTGTTCAAGGGCTCCGTCAAGTCCGAGTAGAGGACTTGGTCCCTTGCTAACCCAAGTATTGAGGTAAAACTCCGGCTCTTTTAAAAAAAAAAAATGGAAAAATTTGTAAAAAAACTGGAATTAGTGTATAACAATTATTCATGCAATTTGGGGGTTTTTTTTTTTTATTTGTGAGTTTTTCTTGTGACATGTTCCAATTTAATAGTTTTCTCTTTTTTATTTTTTTTAAATATCTCAAATCCCGAATTAATATTTTTTAAATCTATATTTTATTATTTTTTAAAAAAATTATTTTAAGCTAGTCTTGTTTTTTATTTTATTTCACTTTAAAAATTTTTATTTCATTATTTTAAAAAAATTAAATTTTTATCTCGACTTTTTTTTGGTCACTCTGCCAGTTTACTCAGAACCCAATGCCTGTCTAAAATCATTGATATGAACCAAAGACACTCACACTAATACCACTCCAATGATCTATTTTTGCATCTCCTATCATCTCTTTGCATCTCTTATCATGTCTTTGCAGATGGGTGGGATTGAGAACGTTGGGGGACACTTGCGCTGAACAGGTACCTTATATTTTATTATTTTTAATTATTAATATATGTTAAATCTAAATAAATTTAAAGGTCTCTTCAATTTTGATTAAACCAAACCTCGTCCGGACCAATCTTGAACACAGGTTCAATCACAAACTTTGAAAAAAAGAAGCTCTGAGGGTACCATTAACCACATTTAACGGCTGATAAAATTTATGATGCACCCCACCACATGTGGTTCTACAGTTTTTTAATATTGCACCTAAAAAGTTGATTCTAGTCAATGACACTTTTCTAATAATTTAAATTTGATGGACAAGTATGATTATAACCTATAACCACCTTGTACTAAAACTAAATGATGCTTTTTTTACACTTTTCGTTTATAAAATACTACCATGGGCTATTTGAAAATTAATAGAAAAGAGAAATTTATCATAATATACCACCTCACTTTTTAAGTATTCAAAATTGTATCCTCTGTTTACTGTTCCAACTCAAAATCTCATGTAATTTGAATTAAATCAAAAGACGTTAAATATTTAATGGGCATGGTTTGTGTAGAGCCTCGGCTCCAAAGAATCAAATTAGAGCCTACCTTCAAATAGTATCAAGAAATGTGGTTTCAATACTGGAAATCTTTGTGATAGCCTTAAAATATATTTTCATCTTTATTTATAAAGTTTAAAACTTCAAAAATAGTGTAGATCGTCAGATCTATGAAAACTTGAAAATCTTGAAAAGTGACAGCCCAAAAATGCGTTACAAAAAATACCATTTATAAAATTTGAAATCCATTTTTTTCTGATGTCCATACATTTTTAATGTCGAGATGGTCAATTTGAGCATCAAAACAACCTCTTCTAGTGAAATTTTTGATGTAGGCTCTTATTTTATTATTTAGAACCTCGGCTCTATATAAACTTTTCCCATATTTAATTTTGACAAACTCCCCCCCCCCCCCCCCCCACATTTAATTTTGACAAATCCCCACCCCCCCCCCACAAAACAATAACTACTTGAAATAATTAGATTAGAAGATAAAAAGTTAAATAGGCTCTATATAAACTTTTCGCATATTTAATTTTGACAAATTCCCCCCCAAAACAATACCTACTTGAAATAATTAGATTAGAAGACAAAAAGTTAAATAGTACAACTCTTAAGTGTGATTGATAAGTTTCTTTTTCTTTTTTTTTTTTTTTTTTTTTTGTTTTTTCTTCTTTTATGGGCGACCACACCTGCACATTTTGTTAGAAAATGTAGTATTAGTGTAACTGTGTAAGAAGCTTCATGATGCCTTGAAAAATCTATGTTCAATGTTAATTATGAAACTTCAAATTTCCAAAATGGTACAAATCATGAACACTTGAGTCCAGATAACTTGTTACGAGATGCACTATTTTTATTTTTAATAATTGAATTTCTTTTATCCTTTATAGAAGTAAAATGTTTTCCGATTTGGGATATTATTTTATATTACATTTTTTATGTTCACCTAACTTTAATAGTATAAGGCTGCAACAATATATAAACTTCTTCCGTTTTTTTTTTTTTGTTTGTTATTGGATGTGTTTGTAACCCTTTTGTGAGGGAAGGTCACAGTCTCTTTCTATATAAGCATTTTTAAAAATTTCATTTCCTTTTCGCTAATAGCAGCTCCTCCATGTCCCAAATCTTTCCCCATAACCACTATTTTTATGGGTTATTTGGGGCTCTAGGATATGCAAATACAGGTTTTGTATATCTAGATTTTGATGGACTACGGTGGTTGAGAGTAGTTCTCAAGGTTGTAGTTTTCAATATCATATCTTAGATATCCACATCCTCAAAACCACTCATTTCCAAGATTTGCTCATTCAAAAAAAAACATAGAATGAGTAAAAAAAACTTAGAATAAACAAATACAAGGTTTTAAAAAAGCTAGCTTTTGCAGTGGGGCATGTGCTTCCTCTCCTTTTTGGCTCTCTCTCCTCACAATAATGATATTATTTTATATTTATAATTTGTTATATTTAATATTTGCTATTATTGTTATTTCATTACAATTATTATTATTATTATTTCAAATATTTATCGTAAAATATCATCAATATTATTAATATTAGTATTAATATAATAATGTTATATTGTAATCATAACGTATAACATTAGTTTATATTTTTAATTAATATTATGTTATTAGCATAATATATTAATATCATATTATTTGAATATTAAAATAATGTATATTTTATTATAATATTTATTAATATCATTATATTAATATAATGTATTACAATATTATGTTATTATCATAATATATTAATCTCATATTATGTGAATATTAAAATATTGTATATTTTATTATTCTTATTAGTGTTATTATTGTTATTATTATCTTTATCATCATTATTATGGTTATTTTAAATATTTATTATTGAACTAATAATTATTTAAATATATTGAGACTATCATGATCTTTATGGCTTTGTGCAAGTCCATTTCTTTTGCTTAATATCTTTTAAGAAAAAGCAGATATGTCAAGCATTGGTTCAGAGGGCAGGAGACTATATTAGGTTGAAGGATGGGGTCGAGCCTAGAGATATTATGAAAGTGTAATAAGAGTATAATATAATTGTTATACTAATAAAATGATATTTTATTATTATACTATTATTATAATTAGGATGTTGATGATAATGATTATTGTTATTGTTGTATAATAATAGTATAATGTAATTATTATACTAATAAAAAGATATTTCGTTATTATAATTAGGATGACGATGACGATGGTTATTGTTATTATTGTTGATATTATCATTATTATTTTCTATAAAAGAATGTCAATACCATTAATATTAATATTATTATATTTTAGTATAATAATATTATATTGTCATGATTTTACAGTTAGATGAACCAAACAAAGAATTTGTTACAGGGTGTTCCAGGTTAATTCAGAAAAGTACTCAAACAACATTAATTTTTAAACCACGTTTTACAGGAAATTTATATACCCACCATTTGATGCATAACGACATTGATTCTTAAATCATGTTTTACAGGAAATTTATATACCCACAACTTGATACATAACCAGGTTTTGCAAATACCAGGCCCCAAACGGCCGATTTCAGAGAGAGACCAACCAAACATGCAAGAATAAAAAAAGACAACACATGGAGAGAAAAAAAGGATAAGCCACTAGAGAGGGAAACAAAAACCAGACAAGAAATTACCTGAAGAACAAGCAAGGGATAAGCCGAGATATCCTCTGTGTAATTAACCTTTGGTAGAAGCTGCTTAAGCTCCATAGTTGGAGCAAAATCCCCAAAATCATCAACAACTGAGTCTGTGTAGGCCTCCACAAAGAGCACTCCTTGACCATCACAGTCTATTTCGATGCGCCCATCTTCATCTCTCCTCAAACGCCCAGCCATTGGATAGAAGGGAACAAGAGCCCTGCTCAAGGCTTCTTTCAACACTTGCGTATCAAAGAAATTGGGTGCACCATTTGGTCTGTAGAAATACACACTTGGTGTATGCATTCTCGGAACCACCAAGTCCACATTGGAGTTCCACAGTGCAATCCTCGGCGTTTGCTGAGCCGGGCGCACCATTGTCGACCCCTTCACTGTGATAATCATCTTTTCCTTCACTATCTCCTTGCCTTTCCTCTACTGTTAAGTCAGAGACAATGAGAGGGGTGAGAAACAAGGAAATACTAATTATATAAAGGATGCAGTTTGTATAGAGCCTAGGCTGTAAACAATCAACTTTGAGCCTACCTTCAAATAGTATGGAGAAATATGGTTTCAATACAGAAAATCTTTGTGATAGCCTTAAAATATACTTTTATTTTTATTTATAAAGTTTAAAGCTTCAAAATAGTATAGATCGACAGATCTATGAAAACTTGAAACTCTTGAAATTTGACGATCCAAAAATACGTTACAAAATGCACTATTTTCATAACTTAAAATCCATTTTTTTCTCCTGTCCATACATCTTGATGTCGAGATGTTCAAGTTGAGTATAAAAAAAACCTCTTCTAGTGCAAATTTTCAGATAGACTCAAAATTGATTGTTTAGAGCCTCGGCTCTATATAAACTTTTCCCTTATATAAAAATACACATATATTTTGTGATGCTCTTTCTTGTGGAGAAAGTTGGAGGTGGGTGTAACAAATTAACATGTCCTTTCCGTGGGGATGGTTGGCTTTTAAGGTATGAGAGGCGGGTGGTCCTGTGGGGGTTGGTGGACTGAGTGGGCATGAATGTTTTTTCTTTTTCGTTTCTCTCATTTTAGGGAAAGAAAATTAATGTTTTGGTTAAGAAGGGAGAGTGCCCTTTGTGACTCTAGGGGGACTGCACCCTGTCTTTATCTAATTTAAGGATTTTTTTCCATAGAAGCCATCACCTAACTGCTTCCTCACTATTTTTTTTATTTCCCCCTTTTTTTTCTGTTTTTTTTGGATTTTTTTTATGGCTATGAGTTCGACCTCTCACAATTTTCTTAAAGATTTCTCTTTTGCTCACATGCTTCTTGAGCATGTCAACACACTCACAAATTTCCTTACATTCTCTCCAGTATTTCCTTTTTTGATAAAAAGTTCCATATATAGAAAATTAGGGCCGGTAATGGGCTGGGCCAGCCATAACCCTAGCCCCGCCCAGTGCCCATGGGGCTGGCTTAGGCTCGGCCCTAGCTTTGTGTGGCTCGGGGTCAGCCAAATAAAAGCAAAATTAACAAGAAACGCTAAAAGAATAGGGCTGAACCAGGCCACGCCCTTAGACCCCATTATGTGGTATAGGGCTAGCCTTGGCCCTGTTACAGCCACGTTGGACCGAACCAAGCAAAAAAAATAAATGAAAAAAATAAAAAAAAATTAAAAAAACAAAAAAAAAGGTTTGGCCAAATCGGGCCAACACTAACCCT